AATAATAATAATAATAATAATAATAATAATAATAATAATAATAATAATAATAATAATAATAATAATAATAATAATAATAATAATAATAATAATAATAATAATGGAATTTATTCAGCGTATCCACGAAGTGGCTTTTCATCTGAATTATACAAAGTTCAACTATATTCACTACAAATATGGTAAGATTATTCTAAAAATAGTTGATCTAATGTCGTTCTAATATTGTTAATCTTGTATATAATAATGTTACAAAATACTTAAAATGTCAAATATTACAATATATTAACTAAGCATCATGCCAAAATTTAATTACATTTATCCATTAATAAGGCTTTAGTTTGAATCTTAAAAGATTGAAAATTGTTATCGTTTCTAATATGATCAGGTAAAGTGTTAAAAAGTTTAGCTGCTGAATCTTGAAATGTGCCATTAATAAGCGGGGTAGTCAAGGTTGTAGCTGACGTTGATCTTAGAACTCGTGGGCACTCTTCTTTCCAACTTTAAGTATAATGGCCAATCAGCGTTACAAAGAGCTTTATGTGTCATTTGAAGCATATGCCAGTCTCGCCGTTCTCGTACTGGGAGCCAGCCCAGGCTGGTTACATCCAATATTTTTTTACATAGCGATTAAGGACAAAACTAGCTGTGGCATATTGGACTTTCTGTAACCGATTTATCAAATATTGTGGTAAAGGATAAAAGACTGTGTCACAGTAGTCTAGTTTTGATAAAACAAGGGATGCCGCAAGCTGTGTTCTAATGCGAAAGTCAGTAAAATTCTTTATTTTACGCAAATATCGTAACACGCCATAGCAAGAGATCAATAAATGTTTAACGTGCTCTTCCCATTTAAGGTATTGCTGTAAACGGACACCTAATAAGTTAGCACTAAATACTCTTTCCGATGGAATACTACCAATGCTAAGATTTAGCAGCAAATTGTGAAGATCATGTACTCGTGCCATTTGATTAGTAGATATAAGCATATATTTAGTTTTGACTGGATTAAGAGCCAAATTTGAAGATGTAGACCAGGAACCAATATCTTCCAAAGTTTGGTTTAATTCATTGGCACTCTCCGTAAGATTATTTTAGAGACATGATCTATATATTGTCGTATTGTCCGCATATTGAAAACTTTTTACCGATTCATTCACATTATCTTGGAGGTCATTCACGTAGATGTTAAACAACATTGGCCCGAGGATCGATCCCTGTGGTATACCAAATTGGCTGTGAATCGCAGAAGATTTTCGGTCATCAATCTACACATAATGCGATCGATTACTTAAATAATTCATAATCCACATGCAAAATGATTTCGAAAAGTTCAAGTTGTTTAATTTAGTAGCCAGTGTTTTAAAACATACTGTATTGAAAGCTTTGAAAAAGTCTGCAAGGACCATTAGCGTGACCTCACTTTGTTTCATTGCACTTAGAAGGTCATCTCTTATGCCCATTAGGACAGTAGCTGTAGAATTTCCTTTCCGAAATCCGCCCAGTGTTGCCTTCAAAATGTTGTTTGTTTCCACAAACACGACCATTTGCTTCGCCACAATTTTCTCAAATATTTTTGACAACACTGGCAAGATCGAAATTGGACGTAGTTGATCTTCAGATGATGGACAATCGTTTTTTGGTATGGGGCTGATTCTAGCCAGTTTCCAAGATTGTGGAAATTGAGAGTTTGCAATACAATTATTAATTATTGCAGTGAGTGGGCCTGATAATTATTGTTCCGCAGCAAGTTTGATAAAATGAACCGGAATTTGATCAGGACCGGTAGAACAGCCCGACTTGAGAGATTTGATAGTGTTTATGATTTCAGTTTGAGAAACCATGTTGAGAGTAAATTCTTGACCAACAGAGGATTTTTCAGAGGATTTTTCGATTACTTTGTACAATTCACTTATTGTGGTAGGTTGAGAATTATTAATAGTTCGGGTTGGAATCTCTGCGAAAAAACGATTTAGTTTCTCAACATCAAAACGCAGTGGTCTATTACTTGGCTTAAGTATTCTATGGATAACTTTCCATACTTCCCGAGGCTTATTGGATGACAATGCTTTTTGGTAAAAGCAATGTTTAGCTTGTCTAATTATTGTTTTCAATTTGTTTCGTACTGCACGAAATAGTTGCCATGCCATTTCTGTGCCTGTAAAGCCAATGAACGGTAATTGTCTCGTGAAAAGCATTGTGTACAAAGTAAAAGTTAGCTTGGATAATGGAGAAGTTGTCAAGCATTATATTGGTATGACATCATGTAGCTTCAAACTCAGACACAGCAACCACTTAAAGTCTTTTAACCACGAATGCTACTCTGGAGAAACAGAACTTTCGAAATATGTTTGGGGGCTCAAGTCGCAAGATAAACCATTTGAGATAAAATGGTCAGTGATGAAGTTAGTTCCCGCCGCATGCCGAGAAATGAAAGTTTGTAATTTATGCACCAAGGAAAAAGATTAATCATGCTATCAAACAAAAACAAATCGTTTTTGGGATCATTTTTTTTTTATATATGTATATGTGTGTATATGTGTATGCATATGTATAAGTGTATGTATATGTATATGTATATGTATATGTATATGTATATGTATATGTATATGTATATGTATATGTATATGTATATGTATATGTATATGTATATGTATATGTGAATATGTGAATATGTGAATATGTGAATATGTGTATATATATATATATATATATATATATATATATATATATATGTATGTATACAACGTTTAAGAAGGCTATTTACACATAAAAACTACAAATTTGTTTCGAAAACACTCCAAAGTGAGTGCTCTCTCGTCAGGTCTAAAATTTCTACTGTTTAATGTACCCATATAGGGTTTGCAAATGATAAAAAATTTCTCAGTAATGCATAAATTACATCGCTTGCTTACATTTGTATGCGGTTGTGCTCTGGCGATAATTTCCCATGACAACTTATAGCTGACGCCTTTGTCCTTTTGTTCCCAAATATGTTTGCTCAGTTGCATCACATTCATTTTGTTTTTGTCCCTAAACGATCCTAAGTGGTTGGCGTATCTGGTTTTAAACTTGTTCTGCATTAATCCAATGTATGTTTCTTTTCCTGTGTCTGTCTCCACTGTTGCTTGGTAAATTACATTTGTTGTTAACCATTCTCCGTCCAGGGGACACAATGATGTATATGTATATATATGTATGTATATATGTATATTTGTTTATCAATGAATGTTCTTCGGATTTAAAATTGTTTTTTATTGAGCTTTCGACTCGGTACTTCGAGTCTTCTTCAGAATATCTAAATTATTTACATGTGTATAGCTTTATATATTTAAGTTTCGCGCTGTTCTTTAAGACTCTGTATACGTTGAGAGCGTCTGATTGGTTGTTTTGAAGTTGATCTGATATGAGTGGTAGTTGAGGGATGCGTTGTCATGGTTGACTGCATTTCGTTGTCAGGGATGGTCGCTGTGGAATGATTAGATTGTTGTGTATCAGATGCGGGTGGATTTAAGTTATTATTAGTTACATTAATGTGATTATTGATAGAGTCTTTACGTTTTGTCTTAAGTTGCAGATAGACTGCAGGAATATCAATATGTCTGTTAATAGTATTGTCGTCTGTACTAAACCAAGCTTCTTTGAATTCACGTGCGTGTTTTGTTCGTGTTCGTCCCAGTAGTTCAGTTTTTGTCCAGGCGAAGGTGTGAGAGTTGTCGTATGTGTGTACTGCGGGTAGGGATTTAAGGTCGTGTCGTTTTATAGCGTTCTTGTGTTCAGTTATTCGGGTTTCAATTTTCTTCGAGGTTTGACCTACGTATCGTTGTGGACAGTCTTTGCAAGGAATCAAGTAGATGGCATTTCTTGTTTCGGTGGTTGTCGTTTTGTCTTTTTGTTTTGTAAAACATGACCTAAGTTTGTGTGCTGGTTTATGTGCTACGTCAATATTAAAAGGACGAAGTAGTCTGGCAGCCATTTCAGATGTGCTCTTAATGTATGGTAAGGTAATTGTTTTATTTGATACTTCAGGTTCTCTTTGTGATTCATTAATTTCATTAGTTTGTTTGTTACTCAGTTTCGTTAGTACTTTGTTAATGAAATTTGTCGGGTAGTTGTTCTTTTTGAAGGTTAAGTACAAGTATTTGCGTTCCGCTTGTTTCGCTTCTTCTGTGTTACAGTGTGTGTCTATTCGGTTAAATAACGTCCTAATGCAGCTTATTTTGTGCTGAGTTGGGTGGTTACTGTTAAAATTTAAGATTTGATCAGTGTGTGTTTTCTTGCGGTAAACCCGTGTGTTTATTGTTCCGTCATTAGTTCGTGTTAATAAAACGTCAAGAAAAGCAAGTTGGTTGTTGTTCTTCTTCTTTGGTAAATTTTATGTTTTCAATCGTTTGGTTGATTTCGTATAAAATATCGTCAGTCTTGTCTTTCTTTACCGTTGCGAAGACATCGTCAACGTATCTGTTCCATGATTTGATGTTATCGTTATTGGTGACCGATTTCTTCTCTAGATCCTGCATGACTGCTTCAGCAAGGAAACTAGAGAGAGGAGATCCCATAGGTGTGCCTGAAATTTGTCTGTAGTAGGAGTTTTGAAAAGAGAATTCCGTAGAAAGGCAAAGATTAAGAAGGTCAAGAATGTCGTTTTTGTCTAAATTAGTTCTGCTCTTCCATGTGTCATTGTTATTAAGTAGTTCACTTGTGATGCGTTTGGCTGTGTCTAGTGGTATGGATGTGAAAAGGGAAACTACGTCAAATGATATCATGATTTCGTCATGAGGTCCTTAATATTATTTAGAAAGGCATTAGTGTTGTTAACCATATGAGGTGATACTTTAACAAGAGGATGAAGAACCATGGCGAGATATTTAGATAACTCGTATGTTGGGGAGCCTGGAAGAGACACGATAGGTCTTAGAGGGATGTTCTTTTTGTGTATTTTAGGTAGTCCATAAAACTTTGCGGTGGAGGCATCGTTTGGTCGGATTCTGCTATAGTTGCAAATGTTAAATGTACTAATATCAGATGCTCACAATCGCTTACGAATATATCGACAAAGACTACAGGGATATCGTACTGCTGTTATAAAGGATACAACTGAGATGGATGCAAACTCGATAAGTCTTGCCATTCAACAAACGACAAACGAACATAGAAAGAGACGACGCAGTCAACTTGAAAGGAAATTTAAAAACACGAGATCCTACAAACAATCCAATAATAACACTGACGCCTGGGTTAAAAACATCTCAGACAGATCTCTCACTGAACAACAAACTCGAAGTTTAGCTAAAGGGTTAAATTTCAATACCAAAGACGCCGACGCATTAGATTACGTCGCAGACCTTGAATCTGCACTAAAAAGTACTTCGCTCCCTGATGAAACTAAAGAACATATTCGCCATCAAATAACAACTAATCTTCTTAATAAACGACCAGTTAGCCTCGACACTGATGAGCAAAAAGCAATCAAAGACTTACAAGATGACAAAGAAATCATTATACTACCAGCTGACAAAGGACGAATGACTGTAGTTATGAACAAATCCGATTATATCGATAAAGCAAACACTTTACTAAAAGACACGGCAACATATCAACCACTTGACACTGACCCTAACAAAACGACGGTTAATCATATTAACCAGAAATTAAAACAACTTAAAGACAAAGGCAAGCTTGATGAACGCAACTATAGCAGAATCCGACCAAACGATGCCTCCACCGCAAAGTTTTATGGACTACCTAAAATACACAAAAAGAACATCCCTCTAAGACCTATCGTGTCTCTTCCAGGCTCCCCAACATACGAGTTATCCAAATATCTCGCCATGGTTCTTCATCCTCTTGTTAAAGTATCACCTCATACGGTTAACAACACTAATGCCTTTCTAAATAATATTAAGGACCTCATGACGAAATCATGATATCATTTGATGTAGTTTCCCTTTTCACATCCATACCACTAGACACAGCCAAACGCATCACAAGTGAACTACTTAATAACAATGACACATGGAAGAGCAGAACTAATTTAGACAAAAACGACATTCTTGACCTTCTTAATCTTTGCCTTTCTACGGAATTCTCTTTTCAAAACTCCTACTACAGACAAATTTCAGGCACACCTATGGGATCTCCTCTCTCTAGTTTCCTTGCTGAAGCAGTCATGCAGGATCTAGAGAAGAAATCGGTCACCAATAACGATAACATCAAATCATGGAACAGATACGTTGACGATGTCTTCGCAACGGTAAAGAAAGACAAGACTGACGATATTTTATACGAAATCAACCAAACGATTGAAAACATAAAATTTACCAAAGAAGAAGAACAACAACCAACTTGCTTTTCTTGACGTTTTATTAACACGAACTAATGACGGAACAATAAACACACGGGTTTACCGCAAGAAAACACACACTGATCAAATCTTAAATTTTAACAGTAACCACCCAACTCAGCACAAAATAAGCTGCATTAGGACGTTATTTAACCGAATAGACACACACTGTAACACAGAAGAAGCGAAACAAGCGGAACGCAAATACTTGTACTTAACTTTCAAAAAGAACAACTACCCGACAAATTTCATTAACAAAGTACTAACGAAACTGAGTAACAAACAAACTAATGAAATTAATGAATCACAAAGAGAACCTGAAGTATCAAATAAAACAATTACCTTACCATACATTAAGAGCACATCTGAAATGACTGCCAGACTACTTCGTCCTTTTAATATTGACGTAGCACATAAACCAGCACACAAACTTAGGTCATGTTTTACAAAACACAAAGACAAAACGACAACCACCGAAACAAGAAATGCCATCTACTTGATTCCTTGCAAAGACTGTCCACAACGATACGTAGGTCAAACCTCGAAGAAAATTGAAACCCGAATAACTGAACACAAGAACGCTATAAAACGACACGACCTTAAATCCCTACCCGCAGTACACACATACGACAACTCTCACACCTTCGCCTGGACAAAAACTGAACTACTGGGACGAACACGAACAAAACACGCACGTGAATTCAAAGAAGCTTGGTTTAGTACAGACGACAATACTATTAACAGACATATTGATATTCCTGCAGTCTATCTGCAACTTAAGACAAAACGTAAAGACTCTATCAATAATCACATTAATGTAACTAATAATAACTTAAATCCACCCGCATCTGATACACAACAATCTAATCATTCCACAGCGACCATCCCTGACAACGAAATGCAGTCAACCATGACAACGCATCCCTCAACTACCACTCATATCAGATCAACTTCAAAACAACCAATCAGACGCTCTCAACGTATACAGAGTCTTAAAGAACAGCGCGAAACTTAAATATATAAAGCTATACACATGTAAATAATTTAGATATTCTGAAGAAGACTCGAAGTACCGAGTCGAAAGCTCAATAAAAAACAATTTTAAATCCGAAGAACATTCATTGATAAACAAATATGCCTGGATTACAAATTTTTAAACATGTATATATGTATATATGTTTATATGTATATATGTCTATATATGTTTATATATGTCTATATATATATATATATATATATATATATATATATATATATTATATATATATATATAATATATATATATATATTATATATATAATTAATATATTATATATATATATTATATATATATATATATATATATATATATATAATATATATATTATATATATTATTATATATTATTTATATATATATATATATATATATATATATATACAGGGTGTATCAAAAAAAAATGTCCCAAATGTAAAATTTCCGTTTTGCAGGATATTTTGCAGAATTTGGCAAATTTTTGTGTTCCTAGAGATAGTTAAGACTTATCTGGTATACCTAGACCAAGTTTGGTTTTTCATTAACAAAATTATGTTACCGGGGGGTGGTTCCTTTCCACTGATATTGAGAGGGCTTGCACGCGAAAATGTGAAGCTGAAATTGAGATATTATTTAGCTGTCTAAAAGTAGGAAAGCTTTTTAATAAACTGTCAAAGTTTCAGGAAAAATAATGCAAACTGGGAGCAACGTGCGACCCCTAAAAGTGACAAATATTTCATTGCGCGCAGTGGATTAAATGCATGGTTGATTTTAGCGTGATCGATCTCATGCAAGGCTGGGCAAATGAATAAATTAAAGCGAGAAACTGAACAAAAGACGAAGCGATTTAATAACAAGATTCTTATTCTTGATGTTAATCCTCAACATTTCCACCATTTCTTTCTAAGCAAACTGCGGCTCGTCTGAGCATGGTAAACACTGAACGGCGAACCACATTTGTCTGTCCTGCCTCAAATTATCCATTTCGTTCGAAATTCTTTCTTGCAAATCGCCTACGCTACCACAGGCAAATCTAGGCGAATGGACAGACAAATGGTTCGCTGTTCAGTGTTTAGTATGTTCAGACAAGCAGCAGTTTGCTTTAGAAAGAAATGGTGGACATGCTGAGGATTAACATCACAAAAAAATTGCTTTGTTTTTGTGTTCAGTTTCTCGCTTTAATTTATTCATTTGCCCAGCCTTACATGAGATCGGTCACGCTGAAATCAACCATGCATTTAATCCACTGCGCGCAATGAAATATTTGTCACCTTTAGGGGTCGCGCGTTGCTCCCAGTTTGCATTATTTTTCCTGAAACTTTGACAGTTTATTAAAAAGCTTTCCTACTTTTAGACAGCTAAATAATATCTCAATTTCAGCTTCACATTTTCGCGCGCAAGCCCTCTCAATATCGGTGGAAAGGACACCCCCCCCGGTAACATAATTTTGTTAATGAAAAACCAAACTTGGCCTGGGTATACCAGATAAGTCTTATCTATCTCTAGGAACACAAAAATTTGCCAAATTCTGCAAAATATCCTGAAAAACGGAAATTTTACATTTAGGACATTTTTTTTTATACACCCTGTATATATATATATATATATATATATATATACAATATATATATATATATATGTATATGTATATATATATATATGTATATATGTATATATATGTATATATATATATATATATATATATATATATATATATATGTATATATATATACATATATATATACATATATATATATATATGTATATATATATATATATATATATATATACATATATATATATATATATACATATATATATATACATATATGTATATATACATATATATATATATATATATATATATATATATATATATATATATATATGTATATATATATATATATATATATATATATACATATATATATATATATATACATATATATATATACATATATGTATATATACATATATATATATATATATATATATATATATATATATATATATATATATGTGTAAGGTGTATTTGTTTTTCTACACAAGTATGCTCAACCGGGCAAGCAGAAAATTCTACTTGACCGCGGTGGGAATCGAACCCGCGACCTTCGCATTTCTAGAACGATGCTCTACCGTCTGAGCTACAAGGCCAAGTTGGGAACGACTGTGAAGCTCACATGAAGTTGATCGAAGACTTTACCAGTAAGCAACAAATCATGAAATCTATCTACCGGTTTCATCAGGTTAGATAAAAATCTATACTGGAGTGTAACTACTGTAGTGTGTATAACTACAATGAGGAAAATATTTAAATGTCAGCAAATTGTCTAATCGCAAAATCATTTAATGTTTCAGTGAAACAGATCTTGGCCCATAAATATGCTGACAAGCTACTGTTTCCATAGGCAGCCCAGAATGATCAGTATTTATTTTAAAAATCGGGAAAGCTTTAAGTAATATAGGCTTGCGCTCATTAATGCTAGCATTTTCCTTCTCCTGGCGCTTGTGCATGTATACACAAGTGTACGAGTATTCTCAGTCTAATCACAGGCAGCCCAGTCACTGCTGTTACATCATGCTATTATATTACAACTAGGAGTTACTATTGAAAGGAAATTGCTGCCTTAACATTCCCGGTCAGGCCAAGGATTAAAGGCAGCATGCGGAATTTTTTGAATTGGTTGTTTTTATGATCCTGGTTAGCCAGGACTAGATTCACAGTGAAGTGAGTTTATTCTTATGGATTGATCCCTCAAAGAAGCAAAAACGTCATGTAAAATTGCAAAGTAATCTGAGTTCTCATGGGTTGGGGAATCTGGGTATACTTCATTGTTAAATGTAGTGACGTACAAGGGCAACATAGAAATATTAGATACTTGACAAAATAGATATTTAATATTTCGATAAGTCATGGCATGGGATAGCGCATGTCAATATAGGTAAGTGGTGTATAAAACACAATAATAACCGTGGTATTTTTCTAGTTTCCATGAAAATTTCTTATATTATAAAATTATTTACAACAATATAATAAACATAAAATCAACAAAGAGACATCACATGACATTAGTTAACATTACGCATCACATAACATTACAATACATTAGTTAACATTTGTTTACTGTAAAAGTTATATGAGCTCAACAATCGACTAGCAAGATCGACATTTTGAAATCTATTTTGACTAAACTATTATGGCTCATTTTCCTATTGTGATCTCATTTTCTAATAATGATTTTAGTTTAAGCTTGTCTTGTATTTTCTAACAGTATTCATTTTTAAAAGATCGTTATTTAATTTGTGGAGCTGGGTGTTAAATTGAAATGCTCTACTATTTCAAAAGCGCTATATATACGCTCAAAAATACAAAAAATAGTCATTTTGACTAACAAGATTGACATTTTGAAACGTATTTTAACTAAACTGTTGTGATCTCATTTCCTGATAATGATTTTAGCTTATTAAGTTTGTCGCAAATAGAGCTAGTTGACAGTTCCCCAAGATCAAGTGTTGCGCTGGCGGTTTGCGCGTTGTCGCTGAATATACAGGGAAATACAAGGTGTTTCA